AAGGGGAACATAACACTGGAGGACAGGAGGTACAAGGGGAACATGATAGCACTGGAGGACAGGAGGTACAAGGGGAACATGATAATACTGGAGGACAGGAGGTACAAGGGGAACATAACACTGGAGGACAGGAGGTACAAGGGGAACATGATAATACTGGAGGACAGGAGGAACAAGGGGAACATGATAACACGAAGGACAGGAGGGACAAGGGGAACATAACCACTGGGGACAGGAGGGACACAAGGGGAACATGATAATACTGGAGGACAGGAGGTACAAGGGAAAAATATAACACTGGAGGACAGGAGGTAAAAAGGGGAACATGATAACACTGGAGGACAGGGGGTACAAGGGGGACACGACAACACTGGAGGACAGGAGGTACAAGGGGGACATAACACTGGAGGACAGGAGGTACAAGGGGGACATAACACTGGAGGACAGGAGGTACAAGGGGGAAAAATGACAACACTGGAGGACAGGAGGTACAAGGGGAACATGATAACACTGGAGGACAGGAGGGACAAGGGGACACGACAACACTGGAGGACAGGAGGTACAAGGGGGACATGATAACACTGGAGGACAGGGGGTTTCAAGGGGGACATAACACTGGAGGACAGAGGTACAAGGGGGACATGACAACACTGGAGGACAGGAGGTACAAGGGGGACATGATAACACTGGAGGACAGGAGGTACAAGGGGGACATAACACTGGAGGACAGGAGGTACAAAGGGGGGCATGAAAAACACTGGAGGACAGGAGGTACAAGGGGAACATGATAACACTGGAGGACAGGAGGTACAAGGGGGACACGACAACACTGGAGGACAGGAGGTACAAGGGGGACATGACAAAAACTGGAGGACAGGAGGTCCCAAGGGGACATAACACTGGAGGACAGGAGGTACAAGGGGGACATGACAACACTGGAGGACAGGAGGTACAAGGGGAACATGATAACACTGGAGGACAGGAGGTACAAGGGGGACACGACAACACTGGAGGACAGGAGGTACAAGGGGGACATAACACTGGAGGACAGGGGGTACAAGGGGGACATGATAACACGGAGGACAGGAGGTACAAGGGGGACATGAACAACACTGGAGGGCAGGAGGGACAAGGGGGGCACGACAACACTGGAGGACAGGAGGTACAAGGGGACATGATAACACGGAGGGCAGGAGTACAAGGGGGACATAACACTGGGGACAGGGGTACAAGGGGACAAGACAAGACTGGAGGACAGGAGGGACAAGGGGACAGACAACACGGGGGGACAGGAGGTACAAGGGGGACATGACAACACTGGATGACAGGAGGTACAAGGGGACATGAAAAACACTGGAGGACAGGAGGTACAAGGGGACATGACAACACGGAGGACAGGAGGTTACA